GCAGTAATGCAAGTGAAGGGGTTCTTGGTTTTCTAAAGAGCACAGTTCAAGACATAGGACAGGATATTGGTGGGTGGACATAGGGAAAGCAAGTAGCTCCATTTGTCTGTGGCAAAACTGTGTGAAGGGAGTGGTGGGAAGTAGGTTAGGGTCATATGACAAGATCTTGAGATGCTGGACTAAGAGTATGGGTTTTATAGATAAGAGGGAGCCATCAAAGATTGTTGAACAGGAGAAATCCTTGGTACCTGTTTTATTTAGTCCAGACTAATCTGCAGTTGTGAACAAAGTAATAGATTGGAAATATACATGCATGCACACATACATGACATGTACATCTTCAGAAATGTGCAGACGTGGCAGACCCAGTGGCTCACATCTATAATCCCAGCACTTCGGGAGGCCGAGGTGGGGGCATTGCTTGAGCCCAATTTGAGACCAGCCTAGGAACATGGGAGACCTTATCTCTACAAAAAATGAGGATCACTTGAGCCCAGGAGGTCAAGGCTGCAGTGAGCCATGATCGTGCCACTGCACTTCCACCTGGGTGACAGAGCAAGACCCTGCCTCAAAAAAAAAAACATGCACAGGCACACGTGTACACGAATGTACACTTCAAAAGCAAAGGATTAATTCCTGAACCCAGCTATTTTAAAATTCTGAATTATATTTGTTTATTTAAACAAGGCCGGGTGCGGTGCCTCATGTCTGTAATCCCAGCACTTTGGGAGGCCAACGCAGGCAAATCACCTGAGGCCAAGAGTTTGAGACCAGCTTGGCCAACATGGTAAAACCTTGTCTCTACTAAACATACAAAAATCAGCCAGGCATGGTGGTGTGAGTCCATAATCCCAGCTACTTGGGAGGCTGAGGCAGGAGAATCACTTGAATCTAGGAGGCAGAGGTTGCAATGAGCCCAGATTGTGCCACTGCACTCTGGCCTGGGCGACAGAGGGAGACTCTGCCTCATAAATAAATAAATAAATGTAATACATTCACAGTGTCTAAAATCCAAATGAAATATAAGCAAATGGCCAGGTGTGGTGGCTCACACCTGTAATCCCAGCACTTTGGGAGGCCAAGGTGGGCAGATCACCTGAGGCCAAGAGTTCCAGACCAGCCTGGCCAACATGGCAAAACCCTGTCTCTACTAAAAACATAAAAAATTAGCTGGGCGTGGCAGTGGGAGCCTGTAATCACAGCTATGCGGAGGCTGAGGCAGGAGAATCGCTTGAACCTGGGAGGCAGAGGCTGCAGTGAGCCAAGATCATGCCATCGCACTCCAGCCTGGGCAACAAGAGCAAATCTCCGCCTCAAAAGAAAAAAAAAATACATATATATATATATATACACACACACACACACACACATATATGCTGAAAAATTAAGCTATCTCTCACCCCATGTTCCAGGCCCCCAGTTCATTCTGTCTAAAAGCAAGTACAGTGGCCAGTTTGAGAGCTTCCTTCCAGAGACCTTCTGTGTTTAGACAAGCAAATACCCAGCTGCATTGTTATTACATACGTTTTTCTGCACCTTGGTTTTCTCATGTAATATACCTTGGAGATCCTTACACATCAGTACATGGAGGGTTATCCTGGTTTTTTTTAACAGCAACATACTCCTCCATAATAATGGGACATTTGCATTATTTCTGCTCTTTTGCTCTTACTAAAATGTTGCAATGAAAAATCTTGAACATATGTAATTTTGCTTAGTCATTCATTCAGACATTTATTGAGCACCTACTACGTGCTGGGCAGCATTCCAGGTGCTGGAGATAGAACAGTAAACAAAACAGGCAGAAGTCCCTGCCCTCATGGAACATGACATCTATTGTGAACGTGTGAGTACATCTTCAGGATACATTCCTACAGGTGAAATAGCTGAATCAAAGCATCTGTGCATTTTTAAAATGTAGTAGATAAAGCCAAATCCCCATCCCGCCAAGACAGAGTCTATCAATTTACCCTTGCAATGTATGAAAGTGCCTATTTTCCCACACCTTTACCAACAAAATGCTATCAAATATTTTCATCTCTGCCAAGGTGACAGGTGAAAAACAACTGTGATTTTAATTTGCATTTCTCTTATGATGAGTGAGGTTAAGCATCTTCTCATCTATTTGAGAGCAATTTCAAGGCTGGGCATAGTGACTCATGTCTGTAATCTCTGCAATTTGGAAGGCAGAGGCGGAAGGATCGATGGAGCCCAGGAGTTAGAGACCAGCCTGAGCAACTTAGGGAGTCCCCATCTCTACAAAAAATAAATACAAAAATTAGCCGGGCGTGGTGGTGTGCGCCTGTAGTCGCCTCAGGAGGCTGATGCAGGAGAATCACTGGAGCCTGGGAGGACAAGGCAGCAGTTAGCCATGATCATGCCACTGTACTCCAACCTGGGAGACAGAGCAAGACTGTCTGAAACAAACAAAGCAATTTCAGGCCCTTTCCTGTCAACTTTCTGATATCCTTTGCTCATATTTTTACTAAATTGTGGATATTTTTCACACTGAGCTGTGGAAATTATTATTTTTTTTTAATCCATTAAAGAAATTAGCTCTTTGCCTGTGGTATGAGTTGCAAATATTTTCCCCCTAGTTTGTCATTGGTTTTTGGACTTTGCATATGGTGGGTTTTTTTGTTTTTTTTTTTTTAAATGCAGACTTGTAAAATGTGAAATAAAATTTAAAAGAAATTCTGCTCATGCACTTTGCCTCCTTATGGTGAAAGGCTTGTTAGGATTGAAAGAGATAAAGGCCAGTGCAGTGGCTCACACCTGTAATCCCAGGACTTTGGGAGGCCAACGTGGGTGGATCATTTGAGGTCATGAGTTCGTGACCAGCCTGGCCAACATGGCGAAACTCTTCTACTAAAAATACAAAAATTAGCCAGGCATGGTGGCACGCTCCAGTAATCCCAGCTACTTGGGAGGCTGAGGCATGAGAATCACTTGAACCTGGGAGGCAGAGGTTGCAGTGAGCCCAGATTGTGCCACTGCACTCCAGCCTGGGCAACAGAGTGAGACTCGTTCTGAAAGAAAGAAAGAAAGAAAGAAAGAAAGAAAGAAAGAAAGAAAGAAAGAAAGAAAGAAAGAAAGAAAGAAAGAAAGAAAGAAAGAAAGAAGGAAAGGAAGGAAGGAAGGAAGGAAGGAAGGAAGGAAGGAAGGAAGGAAAGAAAGAAAGGAAGGAAGGAAGGAAGGAAGAAAAGAAAGAAAAAAGATATATAGATTCCAACAACATAATCCTGGGTTCCATTAACAAAAGCACATGTTCTGGCCAGTCACGGTGGCTCATACCTGTAATCCCAGCAATTTGGGAGGCTGAGGCGGGCAGATTTTCTGAGGTCAGGAGTTTGAGACCACTCTGGCCAACATGGTGAAACCTTGTCTCTACTAAAAATACAAAATTAGCTGGGCATAGTGATGCATGCCTATAGTCCCAGCTACTAGGGAGGCTGAGGCAGGATAATCGCTTGAACCCAGCAGGTGGAAGTTGTAGTGAGCCGAGATAGCGCCATTGCACTCCAGCCTGGGTGAGAAGAGTGAAACTCTGTCTCAGGTAAAAAAAAAAAAAAAAAAAAAAAAACAAACAAAAAAAAACGCATTCTAGAAAAGGAAGGTGAGAGTCCTATCCTTTTCTGGTGCTCCATCTTAAGAGGGCTTTGGACAAAGAGGGGCAAACTCAGAGGAGGGTGACTGGGTTTTAAATCAGATCACATAAGGAATGGCCATAGAACTGGCATCTTTGAGCCTAGAGCAGATCGCTGTCTATGACTATCATCTGAGGCAATGGGACTAGCCTCATGATACAAAACCAGTCCATATGGTAGAGATCCTGGGAAGCCAAGAGTCTGACAATAGAGCTCTTTTCAAGGCAGAGCTGCCTGAAGGTGGATTAGCCTATTTTGTGAGGAAGTAGGTCATCACCAGAGATGCACAAACCAGAACTGGATGACCACCTCCCAAAGATGCTAAGGGTTAGGCCACATCCCTTTCAAAACTCCTTTCAATCCTGAGACCTCATCATTCTACAAGAATACAAGGAATAGGCCGGGCATGGTGGCTCACCCTTGTAATCCCAGCACTTCAGGAAGCTGAGGTGGGCGGATCTCGAGGTCAGGAGTTCAAGACCAGCCTGGCCAAAATGGTGAAACACTGTCTCTACTAAAAATACAAAAATTAGCGGGGCATGGTGGCAGGTGCCTGTAGTCCCAGCTACTCAGGAGGCTGAGGTGGGAGAATGGCGTGAACCCAGGAGGTGGAGGTTGCAGTGAGCCAAGATTGCACCACTGCACCCCAGCATGGTTGACAGAGCGAGACTCCATCTCAAAAAAAAAAAAAAAAAAAAAAGAATACAAGGAATATTAAAATTCCTAATTTCACAAATGAAGAAAAGGGGGAAACTGACATGCATTGAGCACCTACTTTTTCCTAGGCACTTCAGCATATGTGACTTGATTTTAAAGGATGAGAACCAGGAAGGTGGAGTGGTTCACCTAAGGCTGCACAGCAATGTAGAACTGGAACCCACATCCCCAGACTCCAACTCTAGAGCTCTCTCCACTGAACCTCCTGTCCCTGTTGAATAATTAAACATATGTTCATCGCATGTTTATTGCATACCTATTCTAAATGGACAGTAACGTGGACAAGAAAAGCACATTGTATGCAGGGTATTAGTAAAGTCACGAGGTCTGCTCTGCAGAAGGTCACTGCCTAGTGGGCAAATACAGGTGCCATCTCTGCATTGCTTGATTTAATGTAAATTGTGTTCCCTGGAGTTGTGCAATGTGGTAACCCCAGATAGACTGATAAGGAAATATGAGGCAATTTGGCAAGTGTTGTAATGAAATCACACACAAAGTGCCATGGGAATGCAGAAGGCATGATTAATTCTACCAGGGAAGTGAATCCAGGAAAGCTACACAAAGGAGGTGACACCCGAGCAGGGCCTTGAAGGGTATGTAAAAAAAAAAAAAAACAAAGGGCAGAAGAGAATAATATGTATATTCACACCACAAACATTTATTGAGCAGTTCCAGGTTTCCAGGGATAGATGAGTAATTCACTGTTGATAGAGGAGACAGACAAATCACCAATAAATTGCCATAGCGTATAAGTGTAACCGTGAAAATGGACTTCCCAGGCAAAAGTGGTGATAGCTCCTTCTGGAATAAAGTGAGGCATCTGGGAAAGCTCCTGGAGAAGTGATATCTAAGATTTTAGGAACAGAAATAAATATTTTGCAGACTGATGATAAGGCAGTTGGGAGAAAGGGAAAAGCATTTTCACCAGAGGGAATGGCATGTGCAAAGTTTGTGACTCTTGAAAGATGATTCACTCTGTCTTCAGGTGCCCAAAGCAGAGCTGAAAGGCTTGAGTGGAAACTGTTGGCATGGTGGCAGCCAAGCAGGAGGTGGAACTGACAGGTGTTTGGGCAGGACCCACCAGGTTTCCAGATGAGTGGGGAAACGACATTGGTGTGCATCAGGATTTAGGAGGCTTAGCAACCTTCGCTTCAAAGCCAAGCCCCAGATTGAGAGCTGGAAGAGAAAAGTGTGAGCTGTAAATCACCAGCTCCTCCCGCTGTGCCCAGTACTACAGAGCTAGGAGTCTCCACCAGCTCTCCAGTCCCACTGCTGCGACCCCGGCTAATCCAGCCTCCTGGCCCATCTGACACACACTTCCACTTAACATTTTGTTAGTGACTCTATAAACGAGCTCTCCCTGACCTTCAATCCCTGGCTAATTGCTGGTTTCATGTACAAGACTAGCTTAATTTTACGTGATAATTACCTGAGAGTGGTAATACATATGGCATTGCATGTTCAAAATGTCAGGCCTGGAAATCTACCAAGTGGCCATAGTCAGGGGCAAAGGGAGGAGGCAGCCAGGGTCCACGAGGAGAGACAAAAAATGCGGACACCCAATACAGACAGAACTCCAGAGAAGCAGGGTCCTGGTCTACAGCAGGACTCAGAATCCTCGGCTGGCACAGTACACCCAGGGGCACAGGCCAGAGGAGCGGCACGTGCCGCAGCCTCACGTGCACATGTGCCCATCTCTCGGAGAAACACCAGCCAGGTCAGGGGCATGGCTCATACACACTCTCAGTCACCCTTTCAACATGCGCTCACTGAGCCCCTACTATGTGCCAGGCAGCTTACAGGCGATTGCACTAGTTTCAAACTCCCACCCCACCCAGGGAAAGTCGAAAGATGTGGAGGGTATGTTTGGGTTGTTACAATTATTTGGGGGATGCTACAGCCACTGAATAAGCAAGGCCAGGAATGCTAAATGGCCCACACAGTCCCGTTCAACGAAGCATTGGCCTTCCTGTTGCTTGAGCCCAGGAGTTCAAGACCAGCCTGGGCGACATGGTGAGACTCCATTTCTACAAATAATAATAATAATAGTAAACCAATTAGCCAGGCATAGTGGTGTGCACCTGTAGTCTCAGCTACTCAGGAGGCTGAATCAGGAGGATCCCCTTGAGTTCAAGAGGTCAAGGCTGCAGTGAGCTCTGTTCTTGCCACTGCACTCCAGCCTTGGCTACAGAGCAAGACCCTGTCTCAATTAAAAAAAAAATGGCCTCCCCAAATACCTGTGGTGGCCCCACTGTGAATCACTCTGTTGAAAACCATCACATCTAAGCCAGGACCCCAGCCCAGAAGAAACCAAGCGTGCTCTGTCCTATTGGAGATTACAACTGGGGAAGGAAGACAATGGCAAGGACTTGTGCTGCATGAGAGAGTAATGGAAGGGTACCTAGGAACATGTGACAGGTGAACTGACAGAGTCCAGAGTTCAGAAAAGACCTCCCTTTAAAAGTGCTGGCCAGGCACAGTGGCTCAAGCCTGTAATCCCCACACTTTGGGAGGCCAAGGGGGGTGGATCACGAGGTCAGGGAATTTGAGACCAGCCTGCCCAACATGGCAAAACCCCGTCTCTACTAAAAATACAAAAAATTAGCTGGGCATGGTGGTGGGAGCCTGTAATCCCAGCTACTCAGGAGGCTGAGGCAGGAGAATCACTCGAACCCGGGAGGTGGAGGTTGCAGTGAGCCAAGACTTCACCACTGCACTCCAGCCTGGGTGACAAAAGAGAAACTCCATCTCAAAAAAAAAAAGTGCCATTTCAGAACTAAGCTAGACACAAAAGGATTAACGTGGCAGAATTCCACTTCCATGAAGTACCAGAGGACTGAAATTCATGGAGGAAGAAGTAAAAAGGTGGTTGCCAGAAGCTGGGGGAGGAAAGATAGGGACTTATTGCTTAATGGGTACAGCGTTTCAATTCGGGATGATGAGAAAGCTCTGGAGATGGACATTGGTGATGGTTGCGTAACTTAACGCCACTGAACTGAACTCTTTAATATGGTGGAAAATGGTAAATTTTATGTTATGTGTATTCTACTACAATTTAAAAAAACAGTGTTTACAAATCTTAGTTGTGCGCCGCCGTCCCCTGTCAAAAAAGTGTCATTTCAGCTGCATTCTGAAGGAGGGGCAGGACACTACTCACCCATTCATTTGCTGCATGATAGTTGAACAGTACCTGTAAGGCACAGGTTTGGAAGAATTTCTGTCTTCTGCATCTCAAGTTGGATAAATAAAGCAAGATCTCTGCCTCATGGTGCTTCAGTCCAGCTAGCAAGAGAAGCACGTCTCTCTGGTACACAGAAGAATGAATCCAGAGGGGGGACCAACACAATGCGGTAGAAACACACCGAGGAGAAAGGCAGTGCATCTGGAGGATGCAGGGAATGAAAAGCTCTTTGGAGAAGTGGCCACGACATGATCTTGAGAGGTGGAGGCACTTGTATAGGCTGAGATGGGGGACAAGCCAGCCCAGAAACTGCCTCTTTCCTGGATGGCCCCTGTCCCCAAGGCCATTTGGGGCAAAGGAGCTATTTACTATAGGAAGTGAAGACCCATTTTTCTCCCAGCACCTTTGGTGCCTAGAACAGCACTTGGCAAGAAAATAAGTGAATATGAGATGGTATCTGTTTGTGTCTGCAGCACATGTCGCACACCTGCAGAGGGACAGCTCAGGTTCATTTTTCCCTCATCACTCCAGGGGACAGGGCAAGGCAGGGAAGTTCTAGAGCCCTGTGGTGGCGAGGCAGGGGGGTATGGGCAAAGAAGGAGAAAGGGTGCTCTTGGTCTCCTGGGGGGACCCTTCTGTGGGAAGCCCATGTGCATACACACTCAGAGGCACACAGGTCACAGGATCAGGCAAGAGGTACAGTCCCCAGATGAAGGCAAATTCTAAAAACCCCTTTAGCCTCCTCACCCATGGAACTGTGGACTCCTAAGCTGTGTTGGAGTAAATTACTTGCTTAATGAGATTTCAATTAACAAAAACAAATTAAAATCACTTTGGTAATTAAGCTGCTGTGAACCTCGCCAGTAGCTCTCCCTCAGACCTCAGATTTCTGTGGGGGAGGAGCTGGGAACGGGGGTCCACTTGGACTCAGGCAGCAGTGCTGCTGGGACCTAGGCAGGGCAGGGAGTTCCCGCCTTGGGGCTTCCACCCCGGGAGCCACAGCTTCCTCAAGCCAGAGGTGGGTGGAAGGGAGGGTGCAGGACACAGCAGGCAGCACGGGCTCTAAACTTCCATTCACATCGAAGCCCTGCCACTTGGTGGCTGTGTGACCTAGGGCATGTTAATTAGTCTGTCTGAGCCTCAGTTTCCCTGTCTGCAAAATGTGGTAATACTAGTAACGTACATCAGTGGGTTGTGGGAAGATTAAAGGAATGAATGCATGAAAGAATTTAGAAGAGGGCCTGCCCCACAGCAGGGGATCTTAACTCACTTTACCGTGTGTGGTGCTATGGGGGGACTTTTCCAGCCTTTATGATTTGCCTGGTCCTGAACCCCAAACCCTTCCAGGGAAGCCCTATTTCTCTGAGTTAGGTCAATGAAGATCTACCCATAGAGGTTCCCTTGGAGGTGAGGTTTCTGCAAGTTCTGTCCCACCCAGGCCCCCATCCCTTTTCATCAGCGCCAGCAGCTCAAATCTGGGAGCTGTAACACTCAAGTCTCTTCAGAGACTCCTGTCTCTGGGTCACAAAATCACCCCCATTCTCCCACATGAGAGGCCGCGAGGGTTAAGTAGTGCTGATGTCACTGGCCCCATTCCACAGATGAGTAAAAGGACTTAATGACTTACCTGGTGGCTCAAAGAGAGAAGCAGTGGCCCAGGGCTGGCTGGAATCCGAGGAGCCCACATTCTCATCCAGTGCTAACGGAACTGTAAACAAGTTCAGTCTTTCTGGAGGGTGCAATGCTAAGTGTATAATAAATTGAAATGATTAAGATTTCAGATGATTTTTTTGTTCTTAAAAATTTGTAGCATTTACACTTTTGAAGTTATTTATTTATTTTTATTTTATTTTATTTATTTATTTTTTGAGACGGAGCAATCTCGGCTCACTGCAAGCTCCATCTCCCGGGTTCATGCCATTCTCCTGCCTCAGCCTCCTGAGTAGCTGGGACTACAGGCGCCCACCACCGCGCCTGGCTAATTTTTTTGTATTTTTTAGTAGAGACGAGGTTTCACCGAGGTCTCAATCTCCTGACCTTGTGATCCGCCCGCCTCGGCCTCCCAAAGTGCTGGGATTACAGGCATGAGCCACCATGCCCGGCCGCTTTTGAAGTTGTTAAAGCAAAAACTACATTAAGCCTTTTGGGATAGCTGTATATGTGTGTGTGTGTGTGTGTGTGTGTGTGTGTGTGTATGCTTTACATATAACATGTTTTATTTATAGATATTTATATATATACAAACTCATACACACACACATCCCAAATGCCAAATGTCATTTTTCTCTGTGGTGGTAGAAATTACAGATGGTTTTTGTTTTATATGTTCATTCATTCATTCGTGCAACAAATATTTTTATTTTTATTTATTTTTAATTTTGTGAAGACACGGTCTCACTGTTGCCCAAGCTGGAGTGCAGTGACATGATCTCAGTTCACTGCAGCCTTGACCTCCCAGGCTCAAGTGATCCTCCCACCTCAGCCTCCCGAGTAGCTGGAACCACAAGTATGCACCACTGCACCCAGCTGATTTTTTTTTTTTTTTTTTTTTTTTTTTTGAGACGGAGTCTCGCTCTGTCGCCCAGGCTGGAGTGCAGTGGCCGGATCTCAGCTCACTGGAAGCCCCGCCTCCCGGGTTTGCACCATTCTCCTGCCTCAGCCTCCCGAGAAGCTGGGACTACAGGCGCCCGCCACCTTGCCCGGCTAGTTTTTTGTATTTTTTTTTTAGTAGAGACGGGGTTTCACCGCGTTAGCCAGGATGGTCTCGATCTCCTGACCTCGTGATCCGCCCGTCTCGGCCTCCCAAAGTGCTGGGATTACAGGCCTGAGCCACCACGCCTGGCCTGATTTTTTATTTTTTATAGCGACAAGGTCTCTCTATGTCGTCCAGGCTGGTCTTGAGCTCCTGGACACAAGCAATCCTACCGCCTTGGCCTCCCAAAGTGCTCAGATTACAGGCATGAACCACTGCACCTAGCATATAAGTATTTTTAGTGTCTGTGAAATAGCACAATGAACAAGACAGACTTAAACCCTGTCTTTGGGAAACTCACAGCCTGTTGATGAAGATGGACATTGAACACAAAACGACAAGGTGAATGTTATAGAAGAGGAAGGGTGGGGCCTCAGAAGCCCATTACAGAAGGAAGCCATGGAGAGGGTGAGGTCTGCAATAAGCATTTATTTCTTTTGTAATTAGACTAAAATAAAACAATGTATACATTTTTTAAATGAATCCCAAGGGTCCCATAACTAGTTAGTAACAGAACTGAAAGTGGAAACTAAAAGCCTTCTGGCTCCCAGGCAAGTGATTTTTTTTTTTTTTAACTGACACCCATACCCTGGGAAGTTTGAACAGCATCCTAGTCTTCAGTAAAAAAATATCTCAAACTCTCAAAGGAGATGTCTGACGGAGGTGGTCCTATCATCTATGCACCTCGTGTCAGATGGAGGAGATATATCCCCATTCATACATCCATGTCAGATGGAGGAGGTTTTGTGTACACACACACACACACACACACACACATACACACTCCTCTGACTCCTCCTGGCATGCCCTCCTTCATCTGTGTGGCCTTTCTGAGTGATGAGAGATGTCACTGGGATCCAGAAAGGGTCACTCCCGTTGGCCACACACATACACTCCATGCCAGATGGTACTGGGTCAATGGGCAGTGGGCATCTCACCACCCCTCATCTCTGGAGGAGGAGTCCCAAACATTCCTTGCTCTCAGTGGCCCCAGTCTCCCCACCGGCTGACCTCCAGTCCTGTTTCAACCCACCCTGGCCTTGTCTGCCATCTGGGGGCCAGGCAAAAGGGAGAACATCTCAGCACCCAGAACCTCCCACCATCTGCTCCTTCACACTCCCTGAGAAGTGCTAATCTCGCCAGGCTCTTCCCCGGCAGACCCCTTTGCCCTGGGGAAGGTGAGGGTGGTGCCATCCTCTAAGTGCCCAGCTTGGGTGAGGGCTGCTGGAGCCATGATGCCCTCCACTGGGAGATACCACCTGACTCCATGCGCCGTCCTCTCCTCCCCTCAGACTTCATGTATCATATTTTGTGCTGACTTCAGACAATCAAGGGAGGAGGACACAGAGTTGTACTTTCCAAGTAGCTGGCAACCCTTAATCAATGTTAATTGGCTCTAATTAGCATATGTTAATTAATGATATTTACCACAAATTAAAGGTATGAGTGCTCTCAGAGGGTTTCCTGTTCATCCAATTAGTGCCAATTAGTTGCAATTAACACGTGTAAATGAGATTCCATTGAACCCAAAACAAACAGCACAGAATCTCTCAGATTCCCCCTTGCACCTTTTCAATCAGCCAGAGGAGGAGGTGGAGTGTGGAAGGTGAGGGAGAGACAGGAGAGAGAGAGAGGCCCCCCCAGGCTGATATCTTGCAGCAAACTGACCCTCACACCCACCCGGAATGAGAGCAGGCAGAGCCACACTGGGCAGAGCAAGCCCCTGAGCGTGGTCTGCTGCCCCTGGCTCTCCCTAGGGAGGGCTCCCTAAGGACGCTGGTCTTGAGATGCTCTTTAGAGCTGAGGGCCATCCCTTGGACATCTCTGAACCTGCCAGGGCTTAACCCAGCGCATGGCACATAGTGGGTGCTCAGTAAAAATAAAATTGTGGGCCAGGCACGGTGGCTTATGCCTGTAATCCCAGCACTTTGGGAGGCCAAGGTGGGCGGATCACCTGAGGTCAAGAGTTCAAGACCAGCCTGGCCAACATTGTGAAATCCTGTCTCTACTATAAATACAAAAATTAGCCAGGTGTGGTGGTGCGTGCCTGTGATCCCAGCTACTCTGGGGGCTGAAGCAGGAGAATGGCTTGAACCTGGGAGGGGGAGGTTGCAATGTGCCAAGATCATGCCACTGTACTCCAGCCTGGGCGATAGAGTGAGACTCTGTCTCAAAATAAATAAATAAGTAAATAAATAGGCTGAATTAAAAGTTGGTTTTCTTGCATCAAGGTCCAATATCTTTAAATATATAAAATCAAAATGTATAAAATAAATAAAATTATATAAAATATATATATAATATATAAAATATATAAAATTAAAGGCCGTAATTTTTTTTAAGCATGCAATGTTCTCTTCTCCGTAAGGTCTTCCCAAAGGGGCATATCAAGGGGCAAAGTAGGATGTGCCACTATGACGTAATTTTTTGGAGAGGAGTCTCTCTCTTGTCCCCCAGGTTTGAGTGCAATGGCTTGATCTTGGCTCACTGCGACCTCCGCCTCCCAGGTTCAAACGATTCTCCTGCCTCTGCCTCCCAAGTAGCTGGATTAAGGTGCCTGCCACCATGCCTGGCTAATTTTTGTATTTTTTAGTAGAGACAGGGTTTCACCATGTTGGCCAGGCTGGTCTCAAACTCCTGACCTCAGGTGATCTGGCTGTCTTGGCCTCCCAAAGTGCTGGGATTACAGGCGTGAGCCACTGCACCCAGCCTATGATGTAATTTTAATATAATCTATGTATGTCCACAGAGATTTTACTTCACTGTTAATGTTATTTCTTTTTTACTCAATTACTCTCTGAGGCCCAAACCTCTGTCATGGCTAGAGAAACCGCTACCATGAACAGTCAACTGCGACCCGCAACCAGCCCAGCGGCTCACACATGTAATCCCAGCTCCGTGGCTCACACCCGTAATCCCAGCACTTTGGGAGGCCCATTCAGGAGAATCACTTGAAGCCAGGATATCGAGACTAGCCTGGACAATGTAGCAAGACCCCATCTCTACCTTTAAAAAAAATGCCACCTCAAACTATCCACCACACAGAACCCTCTATAAAACCGTGATGTAAGATATAACTCCCAATAACTTTTTTATTCCTAGCTCACTTTTGCTACACCAAACTTTTCCATTAATGTTGATATTTATTATTTTATTTTAGAGACGGAGTCTCTCTCTCTCATGCCCAGGCTGGAGTGCAGTGGCGTGATCTTGGCTCACTGCAACCTCCCCCTCCCAGGTTCAAATGATTCTCCCGCCTCAGTCTCCCAAGTAGCTGGGATTACAGGTGCCCGCCACCACGTCCGGCTTTTTGTATTTTTAATAGAGACGGGGTTTCACCATATTGGCCAGGCTGGTCTTGAACTCCCGACCTCAGGTGATCCGCCGGCCTCAGCCTCCCAAAGAGCTGGGATTACAAGTGTGAGCCACCGTGCCCAGCCAATATGTACTATTTTAAAATACTGACTGTTGACAGCGTCAGGTGCTGCTTCAGGGGCTGGGGATTCAGGAGGGAACAAATTGTCTATGAATCCCGGCCCTCGTGTAGCTCACATTCCACCGTGTACTATTACCTGCCAGCTTGGGATTCGGATGTATCTGGAGTCAGAGTGACTTGGGTTCGTATCCCAGTGCTTCCTCTCAGCAGCTGTAGGGTAGGGTTATTTAATCTGGCTGGGCCTCAGTTTATTTATCTGTAACATGCGTATGCTGATACCTATCTCAGAGGAATATTATTGGGAGGATTAAGCTCCTTCCCTTGTCCCATTCCCTGGTGGGGCAGAGTTTGGAGTTAAGCCACAAGGAAGGTAGAAAAGAGGGAGGTAAAAGCCAGAAGCTCACTCTGGGCCTGCAAACGAATGTCTGATTAAGTCCTCCTCTCGATGTCTGGGTTGGCTATCCAGACTGGCCATGACAGTCCCTCCTACCTGTGCGGCACTTCATAGTTTACAATTCTATTGCACGACTAGCCTCCCAGCAAATTCTCATCACCC